ATGTATGTATGTATGTATGTATGTATGTATGTATGTATGTATGTATGTATGTATGTATGTATGTATGTATGTATGTATGTATGTATGTATGTATGTATGTATGTATGTATGTATGTATGTATGTATGTATGTATGTATGTATGTATGTATGTATGTATGTATGTATGTATGTATGTATGTATGTATGTATGTATGTATGTATGTATGTATGTATGTATGTATGTATGTATGTATGTATGTATGTATGTATGCATGCATGTACACCTATAAAGCCGTGTAAACGCTTTTGATAGAGGCAAAGGTAAATAAATCAATTTTTAATTAAATCGTTGTTATTAAATAATTATTAATTGGCAATAATAATAATAATACTAATAATAACATTAATAATTATAGTAATAATAATAATTTTATTTATTAATATTATTTATTTTGGTTTTTATTTTGAAAGGTAATTTTTAAATTATATTTTCTTCCAATAACATAATATTAATGAATATATATAACATGAATGTATATATATATATATATATATGTGTGTGTGTGCGTGTGCGTGCGTGCGTGCTTGCGGGCATTTAGTAGTCTGTGTCCAATCAATTGATATTTATTTTTTGTCTGATGAGTCGATGTTGCTTATCTTCTATGGTGATGTGGTTTATATTGTTTGTGTTTGATACAATGCCATGCAGAGCTATACACACAGCAAAACACACACAAACAAACAAATAAAAACACCAAATAAAAACACACACACGCACACGCACGCATACACACACACACAAACAAATAAACACACACTCACACGCACGCACGCACACACAAACAACCAAACACACACATACACACAAACACATTTATAACTTTTCATATAAATTCTTTTTTATAGATATTCATTTTTTCATGTTATATACATATATACATATAACATGAATAGGTGTATCTTTAGGTATATTCTATAAACTTATATAAAAAACCAACTAAGAAATTTTAATAAAAGGTTAAAGGTTAAAGGTTAATCTCTTTTTTTTGCGTTTGCTTCAGAGGTTTCAACGACAAACACACACAGCGTATATGAATGCGCGTGCAAACCCCGCATCGTACACATTGCATATGATAGGCGGGGATCTCTTTGTATTCAAACCCAATCATTGCAATAGCAAGACCAGGCGCCTTTAACCATTTAGCCATCACGCCAATAGATCTCTATTGTGTACTCGTCTCTATCTCCATTTAACATATTGCCCCATCTTTTGATGAAATAGCCCAGAAACTTATCTTAAACAGCTGTCAAAATGTCAAAATTGAGTTGAACGCATACTTCTAGATCTTCCTTTCAAGTTGTCACTACTACTTTAGCATAAATTTGCTCAGCATCTAGAACATTCACGTATATATGGTTGTGATCTTCGTGTACAAGTTTCTAAACCACATGTCACCAAATGTTCAACAAAGATGTTTCAACTTACAACAGAACCTCAATTCATACAAAAAGCTGAAAAGCACTTCAGTTCTGTACACACAATCCCAGCAAGAATAAAACATTATGCAAGCAAGTTTAAATTTCTCCGGTCGAAAATATGGTGTGTGAAAATGTGGTGCCTCCAGAAGTCAAGGCTGTCAATCTAATTCACGTATTTAAGAAGAAACTTAAAAACTATTTAGTTATTAAAAACTCAGTTTACAATTTTTAATTTTTTTAACATGATTACAAACTTAGCGTTGAAATTCAATCAAGACATCATTATCTGTTGTAAAGTATGACTCATTTTAATTTTCCTTAATTAACTTTAGAATTTTTAAACTGGGGACTTGTACAAGACATTAATTAATCTTTTTGGTCTCCGAACTATTTCTTTTTCTTACATAATTCCATTCTCTTTGAAATATACATACATATTTATATATACATATATATATATATATATATATATATATATATATATATATATATATAAACCTGATATATTCAGAAGTATTTATCATCAAAATCATCATCATCATCACCACCATGATCGTCGTCGTCGTCATCATCTTCTGAGAGATATAATTGCGTTCGTTCTAAACGCGAGATCGTACCGATTGATAGAATAACATTTTCCACTGGATTCGATTATACCGGATACCGAATAACCGTCATCATCATCATCATCGTCATCATCATCACTATCGTCATCATCATCATTATCGCTATCATCCTCGCCACTGTCGCTATTGCACTGTTAATGTTATCGTTATGTTATCATCATCATCATCATCATCATCGTCATCACCATCGTTCTTATCATTATCATCATCGTCCTTATCATCATCATCACCATCGTCACCATCATCATCA